AGGATGAAGTTAAAATGGAAAACCTCGTCACATAAACACACACACACACACACACACATTACATTCCGACTACATACATTTCCACAACTATTTATTATCTTTTTTCCCAAACTGCAAATTCTGCGGTTTGTCAACATCTGTTTGATGTAATAAAGTTTCATTCTCCTCAACATTTTTATTGCCGCAAAATGACTTTTGGCAGTGAATGAAAAGGACTGAGCAACATCACAACCTTGTTCTGACCACATTACCATTACCCGTCACCGCACTAGTAAATAAAAGCAGAAAGAAAGCTAAAGAGCTTATTATCCATTTTCAGCGAAGTAATTGCACAATCGTCTTCCAGACTGTCTCCCGGTCAGGTGTGGCCTTTTATAACCTCGTTATTCCGGGACAAATTAAGCCGATAGAGGCTCCGGAGCTGTGAAAATATTGACTTTGCATTTGGCAGCTCATCCTTGGAACACTTGGCACGCGGACCAAAGAGGCGCCGACGCCAAGTGAAGGAAGCCATCGCAAGGCCGCCTTTCCAAATCACTTGGAGGTGCGTAAACAGGCAACATTTAGGAAAAACGTGTCACAGACCAAATACTTACAGCCCTGACTGTATACGCAGAGACATGCTCCTTTTCCTCTGGTCGTCCATAGAACACCGGTTGTCTAAATATATCACTCCCTCACTGACAGCCACCAATCGATGGTGAGCCATCCGCCCACCTCCCACGGAGGAATGAAAGCAAACACAGTCGCGCTTTTGTTAACTGCGCAGTGGGCTCAAACCTCACAGACTTAAAAACAAACAAAAAGACAGTTCACAGTTCCACATCACACCGTACAGCAGGCCCGACAATATTGAACACATGAGAGCGGAGACGGAGACGAAGTGAACACCTCATTTCTCCTCTAATAAAGAGCTGGTTCTTCCTCTGCCGCTCTACGCGGGCTCAGACTGTCTGGCTTTATTGGTTCATGTCTGACTGAACAACTACTGCAGCCACAGGGGGAGCGTGTGTGTGTGGTCAGGATTTGCATAATATTAATCCCTCAACACATCAAACCATGGAAAAGGAAAGAGACAAGTTGATGGAGAAAGAGAGCCAAAGCCCCGAGGACAGATGTGCATGGCAACGGAATGACCTGTAAGGTAATCTCACATCATATCAGGTGTAATAAAAGGGAAAATAGGGTTTAACTGGCTTTATTTACGAGTCAGGCTTATGGAATAATTCCTTTAGTATCTCAAGGGAATTCCTGCTGTGAGATGTTGTTTAATTAGACAGGCATGGGAGGCTTTGTGAAGGGTTTATCAAGCCAGCAAACTTGCCTCGTACAACCAATAGGGAAATAAAAGGAAACATCTACCTCTGCTTCTGTGTTTGTGACGTGTTTGTCCTCAGTGTCTCTGCAGATGTCTGAGTGCAGAGCCTCAACCCGGGGTTCAAAACTCTGTGGCAGCAACTACTTATATCATCAGTTTTGAGGTTAATAGTTGGAACTCAACCAGAGGATGCTTCTCTGTCTATTCGCCTGTTTGCTCCTGCAGTGTGTGTGTGTGTGTGTGTGTGTGGACTGCTTATGCACATACGAATCCAGCCAAGCATTCACACCTCCTTCCTGATTAATTCTCGTTAATCCTCTCTACCGGCATTCATCAACAACCTTTCCGTTGCTTTGGCTCGTTTTTCACCCTTAACCTCCGTTGCTATTCACCTGCAGCCTCCCCCTGGCTGCACACATCAAATCCGGCTCTAAGAGCCTCTTTTCCAGAGAGAAGGCTGGCTTTATTCTTCCTATTGCTGATGCAATTTGAAGGCTGGCAGCAGACTTGAGCAGGAAAGTCAAACACCAATCTGGCGAGCGCGTCCTTGCTACAGGAGCACATTTAGGATTTTCCCCAGGCACATTCACACTGATTGGATCTGTTGGTGTGCAGTAGGTCCTGCATGCAGATCATAGACACGAGCCAACCAAAGACAAACCGGGCCTTGTCCCATTCTATGATCGTTGAATCTGAAATGACTCAATATTATGTATTTGCTGTAACCAGAGTGACTCTGTGAGCTCCCTCATCTCCAGCTCGTCTCCGTCCTTCTAATCCCTCTTTTTAATTTCTCCCATACCCTCATTTTTTCCTCCCCATCCATTTCGGTCTTCAGACTCCGTTTCACTCATCGACTCTTCGTGATGCATCAGATCGGTCACCGATGCTTAAATGACAAACTGCTTTGGACGAAATGGTTCTCCACGCGGCCAGTCCAGGGGCAGCATAAGAGACCAAGACTAAAAACGAACAAGCATTACTTTACATGTAAGCATACGCCGTTACAAGTACAAGTACAAGTACACACACACACACACACACACACACACACACACACACACACACACACACACACACACACACATTCACAGCTCACCTTCATTTCCATTACAGCAGCATAAGGGTGGACATGAATCTGTAACTAGTTTAATTACTCCCAGTAATTAGCCAGAGGCAAGAGCTACGAGCGCAGCTCCTCTCTCTCTGTCTGGATCTCTGTGTGTGAGTCAGCGGAGTTTCTCAGCATTCTTATAATCGGACCGGTTGCTGCCATTGCCTATTCTGCTTTATTCCCTCGTTAACGTGACCGTTTTAACCCGGTCTTTACTCTTTTATCAAAATCCGTCCCACCTAGAAAACCTCAATCCCGTTTCTTTGTGTTCCAGTCGTCTCCCTCACGACGTCTGGAGATTTACTTTTGATCCCAACCCGCTTCAAAGCCATCCCAGCAAACCCACTCCTCTCTGTTCAGGGCTAATTGAATTTGCATCCGACTTTTAATTAACAGCAGAGCCAATTTGCATAAAGTCGAATGATTTGCATATGGTCTACAGACCCATCCCCCCCAGCCCTCCCCCTAGGTGTCTGAGTGCCTGGCACAGAGCCATGGGTAGGGGTGGAACCTGACATCATAGAGAGAAATAAGGAGGGAGGAAGGCACGGGTGGAGGAGGAGGAGAGGTATCTGCCAACAAAGAGAAACAGCAGATGGGGGAAGGAGAAGACAAATGGGGGCAAACAACAACTCATAACATGAAATGTGGGGCGGTGGGGTGGTGGGGAGCAAGGGAACGTCGCAGACATGCATTTACAGTTACACACACCAAAATAGATGCACGACATGATCGCCGCGCACACGCACGCCTGGCATCACACTGGCACAAATACCTCTGCAGATTTTGCAATCAAGTTAGCTAATTAAAATCAAAAAGGAAACAAATTAAATAATGAATGCTAAATAGTTATACTCGTCTGACAAACAGGTGTTAAACGATGGCACAACCGAATGTGGCAATGCGGTGCAACGCATTTACAAGCACATTGGCGGCTTCGTGTGGAGGGACGCTGCAGGAGAGCAAGTAACCACGTTAGTGCAGAGACGTGCACGTTAAGCCCCTGGTTTTAGATGTGGCAAGTGGCTTCTAAGGCACACCCAAACATACCAACACTACTGCACTGCATACTCGTGCACACATTAACTCCAGTATCCGGTCCAGAGGGCGCGTCCTGCGCCGCTGGGTACCACCCATCACACGGTGCAAAGTTTCACTAATAAGCAATCTATTAACAATGCCTCGTGGAGTGGTCCGTCTTGTCTATCCAGCAACATTTTGCAACACTGGATCACGTGGCCTGAGTCTGCAGTGCAATCTGGCAGCAGAGTGGCAAAGATGTCACTGAGAATTTAAAGCAAACTCGCCTTGCACTCAAGCAGCAGTATCCTCACGCACTACGTAGAAACCTGACCTGAAATCTACAATGCACAGTCTACATGTTACATTCTACAATGCGTGTACGCAAACAAGCAGCCTGCAAACAGAACCCTGCGCGTACCAGCACAAGTTCTGTCTCCGTCCGAGTTGCCAGACTTCATTAGTGTTCGAATAAAAGAAAGCAGCTCATTAAGGAACGCCATGAAGACCAGCAGAGTAGAGCTGGGTTGCTGCCAACAGGGCGGCGCGGAGGGAGGGGACGAGCCTCGACCCGGCGAGAGTGGAGATGCAGCTGCTTCTCTCTCGCTCTCTCTCGATTGTTCCCTGGGGAGATAAAAGGGAGAGTTGTGGGGGGGAAAGGAGAATGTGGGGGTCTCGACTTCTTCGAGGTTATGAGGAGGGGGGGTTTGCTCGGGGCTGTGGCCGTTGCAGGCGTGTGCCATCGTAACGCAGGAACAAGGCGTGGCTTACGCCATTTTGAGCAGTGATGCAGCGTGTCGCCATTTTGAAGGGCACGGGGGGGGGGGGAGAGACATGTGAAGACTATTGTTCCACTTTGGCAGGAACTTATCGGCGCACGTCACTGCATGGACTTTGCAGCAACAAATTAACATCAGATAAGCAAACGATATTCCCGCACATTTCACCAGACCTTCGGTTTCTCTGACATTCACATGTAGAGAGAGGACCTATAACTACGTCTAAATGTGTTCATCCAAAATCAGCAAGAGCGTATTTAAATTAAACACGACTGCGACTGGGACTATTTTCTTCTTGATATCAGCCTTTTAACGGTCTACATTCTGGTGCCGTTTCGATACTTTAGGACACGGACATCTGCACAACGATCGGAAGTCGCTGTCTGGAGCTCAGGACTCATCTTCTCCCTTCTCGGTTACAAAAAAAGAGGAGAACACACACTTATGTGTTCAGTAATTAGTGCTAATCAGCCATGCACTGGCCCAGCACGCCGCTATATTGATTTCAGAGGTTAATCAAGTAAAAGCTTAATGACATAGCAATTAAAATGTTTCAGAGTAGGAATTGCACCTGCAATTAGGTACTACGGGTATCCAGTGTGATGGAAAATGATCTAAAGTGTGGTCTAGTTGTTCATCCCAAGCCTCAATACACTTGCGGGTCTGTAAGTGTATTGATGGGGGGAGGGGGGGGGGGGGGGGGGAGCAGTTCATACAGTTGTTGACAAAGGAAATTATTACAACAGTGCCAAAAAAAAAGTCAAATAAATTGTATATTTACAGCTCTTTATTTCTTTAAAATAAAAGAAAAGAAAATGTGTTATCATCAATAGTACAAATACAAAACATGTATGAGAGCACAAGAATATACAGAACCGGGCATGACGGTGACGGCTTAGAGAAATGTATGGTTCAAACTGTTAAGGATCCTTGGTATATCATAAAAAAGAGTGGGCTGGTCAATGGAGAACTGGAAATAAACAAATGGAATTTAGATTAAAAAAATAACCAACTGTACTAAACAACAAACCTGCTCTTTCCAGTTTCAGCCAAAATGCTTGCAAACATTCTCCAATAAATAAGGCACTACGATGGGCCCAAAAGCAGGAAGTGTGTGTGTGTAAATAATCTGATTAAGTGGACCACAATGGATGATAAACTTTCACATTTTATATCATGCATAAATACTTATTCCTCTTAAATCACTCTTAAGATATTTTTAATAAAAAACATGGACATTAATGGAGATTTTAGAAAGACAGAAACAAACTGACATCCATATTTTACAAACAGCTTGTGACAAAAAAGGGATCAAACACATGATGCGCTGCTTGATCACCTTATCTTGTTTATCTACGTTGAGGGAGCTGATGTTCAAACATGCTTTTCCAAAGACAGACAATGTAGTGATCATGTGCAATAATTATTTCTAAGCACGGATTAAAAACATAAAACTTAAAAAGAAAAGTTGAGTATAACATGACACCGCTTAAGGCAACTGTGGCAATAAAAGCTATTAAGTGTAAGTCGTTTCTGTTTGACGGTTGCCTCAATGTTTGGTACCAAAAGGAAAAGAAAAGAAAAATCACAAAAGTAAACCATGAGATCGGGATGCGGATCTCATGAAGGAGAATCAAACTTCTCTTCACTCTCTTGATGGTGTAACGAGGCAATGAACTGACATGAACAGTCCGAGTGGCATTGAAAAATAAAGTCCCCTCTGGCCGGCTTTTACGTTTCTGTCCCACCTGTGAGATGGAGAAGGGTGGAGCGGAGGGCTGGAAGACTCTCAATGAGGGTCAAAGTCTCACGGTAAATGAATTATAACCCGTTGAGGTGCACTGCGGCGGCGCGGCGGCTGGCCTCTACATCTCGTGGGCGGCCAGGTGATGTTCCGGCACGCCGTTGGCGTGAGCCACCACCGTGTTGTTCTCGTTGAGGCGCCTCACGCGATACATTTCGTAGTGGATGCTGCTGGTGATGTCCTTAATGTTCTGCATGTGGGTCCTGGAAGAAACATCACACGGCTGTTAGAAACCAGTAGGAGAGATGGACAAAGGCCCAAAAAACACCATTGTCACTTTGATCAGATGTCTGATTTACAAAGTGCAAATATTGAGTTTGAAATATTATTTTCTTTACATTTATCTGCTGCTGTTGACAATGTGTGTGGGGGGAAGTTGAAACGTTCAGCACACAAACACCAAGAAATCACTTTTCAATGTCTTTTGTCCATCAATTATATGTTATTAGTTATCTGCATATTCATTTGGACTCTGGATTATTTCAAGGGGTTTAACAAATTTAAACATGACTGGTTGTATTTCTAACTTGAAGCATTTCAAATGCAAAATTACATGGAGACGAAAAGTCCTCACCTGATGAGGAGATCCCGTAGATAGGCAAACTCACAGTGGGCTATGTTTTCGACTGAAAGAGACAGAAGTCACGAGTTATCAGAAATAACAAAGTGACAGAATACACACAAAAAGGACAGTATGACAGTTGTGAGGTCAGTTTGTTGCCATTTGAGTTTCCTAAACAGGCCACAAGGGGGAATCAGTGCAGAGCTCCATGGAGCCTCCCGGGGAAGACCTAAATCCTGTGTATATGTGTGTGTGTGTGTGTGTGTGTGTGTGTCTCTCTCTCTGCACTGAACACTCTGCAGGGAAATAAAGTTAACGAGACACTTGATTGAGGGATGGGGCCTCCTGTCTGGAGTAGATAACATAATTAACTATTTGAAAGATGAATCTCGCAGTAATAGTGGAAACAGTTTTCAGGGGGGTTTTCAGTATAAGATTTAACACATGCGAGCAAAATGCATATCCAGTGGTAGCATCCACAGTGCATCCTCTGTGATACAAAAAAGGGGAGGCGAGGAGTGGAGGAGCCACACAAACAAATCAGGCCTCTCCAGACAGAATGCGTCTGCTGCAGGCCGAGCCGGCTGCACGGCACACGACGCCAGTCTGCCGGCTGAATGGAGCCTTGTTTCATTGACCGGCTGGCTCAGTGAGGTCTCCCTTTTGTCTCTTCTTCTCAACAAAGCCACCTCCGGGGTTTGTTATGTGCATACGGAGATATTCCGTACAGGAAGGAGAATAACAAAGTCGTTGCCATGGCAGTAAAGGAGAGGGAGCGTTATACCTTCAATGGTTCCCCACTTTGTCTTCCTCCCCAGCAGCCTCCTGCCATTGACCTGGTACTCCTGGTCGCTGCCCACCACCGCAAACGGGATCATCTCCTGCTCACAGGTTGCACATTAAGCGTCAGAAGGGATTCATCTCAAGTACGTTAACAAAAGGGAATCGTTTCAGGGTGCCATCGCTCTATGCAAAAGCATGTCAGAGCATCAATGAGGATAATCGGGTCAAAACTCCTGCCACATCGATCTGTAATTTCTTAGGCCTCACCCTGATCTTCTCGTTTATCATTCGGTCCTCGGCGTCCTCGTCAAACTCCTTCTGAGGGTACACGTCGATCCCGTTGGCTCGCAGCTCTTCCCTGATCTGGTGACCGCAGGTGGAAACATGGAGGTTACTTTCACATCGCAGAGCCTAATTACCAATTGCATTTTGTCTTTGCCTCTTTCCGTTCACATTTATTTTTGAAGTGAACAGAAAAACATCTCACAAGCAACCACAACCGTTACACCCCAGCGAGATTGGCACGCACGCACGCACACGCACGCACGCACGCACACACACACAGTTTGGGATACAAAACATACGACTCTGCTTGACTTGATGTGTGACATGTGACATGGGCCCCTGATCGGGTGAGTGGAAAAACACATGAATCCCAATAGGATTGTTCACTCAGTGGTTGACCGGATTTAGGACCACACATAGCGCAGATATGATCAGAAGAAATTACATCCATGTCACTTGAGTCATGAATTTGGGCTTTGCAATGTGAAGCCAAAGAGAAACTTGACAAGCTTTAAACCCACTAAAGATTTGAAAGGATATAAATTAAGGCCTTTAAATGCAGGAGTAATTAGACAGACGTGCTCAAAAGACATCAAACTAAATGTACCTAAATCTGCAGTGTACAGATCAAGGTGGTATTAAGAATAATCTGCCTTCTAATCTACTTTAAAAGTTTGAGCTTAGTCATTAATCGCTGTCCGTATACAAACAGAAAACCTCACAAGAAGGATGATTTCCATGTGCACACCAGTAAGCACAGGCATGCCCATATAATCCAGGGGGGGTTATGCTGCTAATTAGAGAAGGGGAAATCCTGAGATTCTTGCAGACTGCCAATAAAAACATACAAATGAACGGCTGCGGCCTTATTAACCGTGAAGAGGAAAGAAAGAAAGGGACAGATGCTCTTGAGCTCCTGCTGGAGTCGAGCCACAATTTGTGACTATCCAGAGAGCGAAGGCAGAGTGCCGCTACAGGAATGCATCTCCGGTTACAGCTCCACAAAGATCGACAAATGCAGGGATGAAGAGGGAGAACAAAAAAAGAGCGTGTTCCTAGATTTTGGATTGATAGAAGAATAAAAGGAATTGTAGATACAGTAAAATGTTGAAGGATAAACACGAGGCACCAGACAAACATTACCTTCTTTTTGAAGAAGTCCCTCTCCTCCAGGGTGAGCGTGTCTGCCTTGGCAATGACTGGGACAATGTTGACCACTTTACTGAGACGTCTCATGAATTCTACATCCAGAGGCCGCAGACTGAGAGCGGGAAAGACAACAAGATAGATGAAAATGTGTAACACCGAACTCCTCCACCAGGGGGCAGATGTTCATCACAACTCTCCACCCAGATGCAGGAACTACTGTACTAACATTCAGTATTAACAGTTTAAAGGGTTGAATCCATGACCTAATATGTGTGATCGAGTTTGAAAGGAGTGGTGTTCAGTTTGAGTGTCCCGCAGTCGGCCCGGCTAACAAGCCTTTGACAAAAAACAGCTATTGTTGACGCGCAGCGTCGTGCACCTCATGCATGTCTTGCAGGAGCAGACACAGAAAGACAAGAGTGCAAAATTGATTGCATGCTCCCAGACACCCACGCAGACTCTCTGTCTCCCCCGTCCTTCCTTCCTCTCTACATTAGACTTTTTAAGGCAGTCCTCGTGCAGCTGCTGGCCGGCCCATGTGACATCTGCAGAGCTACATCAACATGAAACATTAATTAGTGGATGGGGCAGAGATGGGGAGGTGGGGGGGGGGGGGGGTCATTTTCACACGAGGGCCCTGCCAAAGTGAAGAGTCCCATGACCCAAAAATGTTAATAAGTGAAATGCAGCACATGAATGGTGCCGTTGATAGACTTTGTGTCTTTGTGAGTGCGCTCAAACAAGGCTGACAATCCACAGCTGCCCTCAACATTTCCCCTAAGACCGCCCGCAACACTCGACTAGAGGGACACAAAAGCAAAGGCCAGGAAATGCTCTGTGGATCCATTACACGATGGACACGACAAGCCTATGCGAGCTCTGCAGTGATACACGGCACAGTGTGGAGACGGACGTTTATGCAGTTCGATCGGAGCCAGATGTGCGTCTCTGTGAGAGATCCAGGGAGAGGAACTCGGGACATTGTGGTGCTCTGGGGCCCGGGAGATCAGCCCATCTTTCCTCTGTGTGTGTGTGTGTGTTGGACTGGTGTTCTGTGATATGTTGCGTCGAGCAGCAGAAATGTGTGTTGTCAATGAGCGGCACGAAATGTTTCAACCTGCCCGAACAGAAAGCTTGAGATTTATCTTTTTCTGATCTTGTAGCACATTCTCAACACACACATTTGTTTCCGGGTCTTTGGTTATTATCTTGTCAGCTAAAGATCAGTCAGGTTGTGTCAATGAATGACTCACCGGTTACCATTTGGTGATCACCGTGGTAATAAAAGACTTGACTTGACTTTTCAAGAGCTGAATGAGAAGACCCGTCCAATGCCTGTACTCTAAACATCTCTATCACCAGCTAGCTTTGCTTAACAGAGCAACTGGTAACAGCAATATTTTCATCCAAGAGAGTGAACTACCGAATATGCCAAAATGTTTAAGCCCCAAGACTGCTCTTTTCCGAGTGGACCTGTGCTCTCATATCTACGTGTAGCCGCGTCGCCGTGCGTCCTTACCAGTGTCCGGTCGGGGGAATGAAGTATATGCAGCAGTGGACTCTGGAGTCCGGAATCCTTTTCTTCCTGTTGATGTTGATCTCCTCCTGCAGGTACGCCTCGTACTGGTCATTGATGAACTTCATGATGGGCTGCCAGCTGGTCCACGGGAGGGACGGGTTAACGGAAGCGATGAGGGAGGAGATGGACGGATTGATGGAGGTGAAGATACAAATGTGAGGTGACCGAGAGCAGGAAGAGAGACATATCTAGTTAGAATATTCAACAGTTTATATAGTTGCTGCAATGATGGAGAAATTGTAGCGTACCAGTTCTCATTGTTGATCTGGTCTCCAAAACCCGGTGTGTCAATGACAGTCAGCTTCATTCTCACTCCCTTCTCTTCGATGTCTGTGCACAAAGAATTACACTTTATTCTCTGGAAACTTCAATACACAACCACACGTTACAGATGCAGATACAGATTAAGAATGTAGCACGATACTGCGTTGCACAGCTGCCAAATTTGAAACTGGGCAAAAAATTATCTACAATCAAATTGTGTTATCTGTGATTAATTTAATTTAGAATTAAAGAAAAGTAGAGTGAAATAAGGACAAGGCACTCTAAGTCTTTGGTGCGACTGCACAAAAGTGTAAATACAAAGAAAGTATCAGAGCAGATGAATATCTTGGCAAACAGTTGACAGAAAAAGATACAGAGGGAAGGAGTTGAGGGGTTAAAATCGACCTTACCATGACTGACGGACTTTATTTCTATTGTTTTGGGGATCTTCTCCTGCGCTGTAGCCAGCACCGACTTACGGCTCACTTTAGACTTAAACAAGGTGTTCATCAGAGTAGACTTTCCCAGGCCACTCTGTCCTGTGAGCACAGACAGACAGGCAGACAGTGAGACAGATACACACCGCAAAACCTAAACAATATCCATTATTTGGACATGGCTCAGTTTTTTGGCCAAAGCGGTGACAAGCTGCAGATGTGCGCCAGCACACACGGTGAAAGAAACATGACTTCAACCCATTAACACCATCAATAAGTCATATTGGATGTGCAAACTTTTTAAATCAAAAGGTTTGGGTTATTGTGCGTTGAGTTTTTATTCATGGTGACACCGCGTCACAAATGAGACCCACAGACTAATAGATCATAATGTGAAAAACTACAGATAGCACTTATAATATTTGCACACATCTAACCGGTACAAATGCATGGTTGCAGTTTTCTTTCAAGGACCCGACGATAAAGTGAGTCTGGAACTAAGCCGACTAAATTCTCCCCAACCAGATGAGATGAAGTGAGGGCGACTTTAGTGGAACCAGCGAGACTCACTCCAGCTTGTGTCTGTATGTCTGGATGGGACCATCTGCGCCTCCCGCCCACCATGCTTACAGCACCGCGGGGTTAACGAAGAGCTTATAAAAGGGGCCCAATGGAGCAGCGAACATTCACAGTTCAACTTAAGGTCAAATCAACGCGGAGACCTTTACTGATTTATGGAGACGCAAACTCCGACGCAGGCTCGTGTTCAGAACTGTAGAAGCAGTACAGAAGACAACAGCTGCATTCCTTCCTCCACTGCTTCATTTTATAAAGTGGGCTATACAGCGTCACCTAAACATGGAGAAAACGGTTTATTACGTTTCTTTTACTATTGCCTCCAATGTCTTTTACCATTGTTATCCAAGTCAATCTTATGGCCGAGGCTGCCTCCGAAACAAGCATGAAACACACAGACCAACCGGCGCGACACCATCCGGAGGAGACACGTGCTTTACGACGGCTCGTCTAGCGTCGAGGTGTGGACGTGTAATTAGCTCCGGTTTTTAAAAAGGTGTCTCATCGCAGTGATGAGGGCTTGGTGAGAAACGGCTTTAAGTCGTTGCTCATTAAGAGAAGTTTAATGTCCTCGCGATACGGGCCGAGACGCGAGCTACTTACCCACTACCATGATGTTGAGCTCGAAACCCTGCTTCATGGCCTTCCTCCGCATCTGCTCCAGGATGGCGTCGATGCCCACGTAGCTGAAGTCCACCCCGGGGCCCCCGGCCTTCTCGCCGTACGGCCCACCGGCCGCTGGGGACACCGTCGCATCAGGCACCACCGCCTCAGACATGGCACTGCTGCTGTAGCTGGAATTCACCTCCAGCCCTGATGGGACAGAGCGGGAGAAGAAAAAGGAGGGAGAAGGTTAGATGAGGTCGAGCAGAAGTGACGGATGAATGTAAGATGAGCAGAGGGACCAAGAACAAAGATAGGGAAGTGGACGAATATGGAAGAGTAAGATATGACGGCAAAGTGTGTTGAATAGGAAACAGTCTAGTGTACGATAAGATACCAAGATGCACAGAAACCCTCGATTTTGAGAGGAAAAAGAAACTCCACTTATTGACGGGGAGTTTGGTGAGAGGATCAATGCCGCCCGTCTGTCACAGCCACATGTGGTACATGACCCGCTGTAAAACTGCAAATTGCTGCTTTGTATTTAACTTTTTGAAAGAAAGTGTATTTCACAACTATTCTGCTCATCAGTGCTTTGGTGCAGCTGATGAATCCGGAAAGTTGCTTTATTCAAACTACAAAAAAGAAAAAAAAAGAAAAGAGAAAACACCTCCTGACTTTTGAACAGCGGGAGCGGCCGGTTTCATGCCGAAGCAGACGTTTGACACAGCAGAAAAGTATCAGAAGAAACAGGGTGTTGAATTAAGGTATTTTGCATTTGGCAAGAGGTTATCCCTGCAGTTTGTGTTGAGTAATGATTTGCTTCATGTCGTCCTGTGGAATGCCTTCGGATAAATATTCAACTTCTGACGTGTCTGCAGACACTTCACAGCCTACAATATGCACGCAGAATGTAACGAACCATAATGTGTGGAATCAGCGCAGGTGGAGGGTTTACAGTGTGCGTTTGAGTGTATGCACGTGAAGCACTTCATGTAACCCCCCCCCCCGACAAGGCCTCCCTCTCCCCCGGTCGCTCCACAGTGTTACTGTCCTGTTGATGCCGAGGCTGAAACCCGATCCGCCGGCGCAGTTAACAACCCCCCCTCCCTCGGCCCTTTCCTGCGTTTGACCCGCCAGCGCGCACAAGCGCATGAAAACGAGCGGAGCGCCAGCTGCTGCCAACTGGGGGGCACATCTCACCCCAGAACACTCGGCCTTCCAAGAAGAAGTCCAGACAACCGTCTGGTTGATTCTTACTGCTTTGGGGAATTAAATCAACAGAACAATGACAAGTAGAAAGTCCACACAACTTCCAGCTGGCACGGCTTCGATTAATTGAAGAAATTTATTGAAGAATAACACCTCTGTGGAAACAGTGGTTCATATTCACCGTTTAGTCTTACTGATATAATGTGCTCCATTGTGTGTGTGTGTGTGTGTGTTGGAGACACACCTATGGAAGCAGCTCTCATGGCCTCCGTCACCACTTCCCCATCCTGTTCCAGCGGTCAGTCAGCAACTTACTGCGACTCGCTGTCCTCCACCTCGCCCACATTCCCGTACCTCCTCTCACCGATAGCGTCCAGCCTTGTCATCGGTTTCCGCTCTTCCCTCCATCGCTTTAGTTTCCCCCCCCAGCGGCTCGTCTGGCTTTTATCTTTTAGCATTACATTGGTTCCCTTTTTTGGTTACCTCTACCTCATTTGAATTTCACTTATTTGTATCCTGCGCTTTCCACTTTAGAAGTCAAGCTCCCTCTCCGCTCCGCCAGCACTTCTCTGTGGAGAGAGAAGTCGGCCAAAGGCCTGCTCGCCTCCACGGGCAACGGAGCCTCACCTCAGGCAGGACGCCAGCGGAGCGTCGACGGGAATGGACACAAAATGACTGGACACAAAATAAACGGGCTCAACAGACACTTGAGTTCAAATATCAGCCAAGAGCAGATTCCACTGCAAAATCGTAAACACTCCTCTGTTAATATTAGAGTTACTTAATAAAAATGTCAGACAACTTTTAGTTTCAGGATTTTAAGCCAAATATTTAGCTATTAACTTTCTTTTTCGCATTTTGTACTGAGTGACTTTAAAAAAAAAGGAGAAAACCTCATCTTTACCTAAATGTAAAGACTACAAGACTAAATTAAAGTGTCTCATGGATCCAGCAGCATTGTGTTAAGTCACTTTGATGTTTGAGTACGAACCAATAAGGTATTGTACTAAAATGCGTGTCCCATTTCCCTGTTTGAGTGCAGGGTACCGCGAACAATACCACCCACCTCTATTGTATTTACCTGCTTTGTGTTTTGTAACAAAACAGTAAGCACACATCATTCTCCTGGTGTGGGTGGAAAAATTCTGAAGCCTCCCCAAACAGAGCGTGAATGGAGGAGAGACAGAAAGACTGTTTGTGCATGCCGCCTCTCAGCGCAGCTTCAGAGCACCGTTAACGGTCCTTTCACCACCAATTTACCCGAAACAAGAGTAGAGTCAAGCACTCGAAAAGAGCTGGCAAACTACGCAACCCACACAGAAAGAACAAAGAGCAGGAGCATCTCCACCCAACGAGGGACATCAATCTCCTTCATCACAGGTATGAAGCAGGAAAGTAAACAAAGGAGTTCCACACAGACGCAACATTTAGGAGCAATTTCTCAAACTTCCCTCCGCTCCACTCTAAAGATTGTTCCCGCTTTCATTTCAAGTTATGGGATTGGATAGAAAAGAATAGAAAAGGGTATTTGCTTCGAGTCTGTGAGAAAGTTAAAATGTAGTTTAGAAATTGGAAAGCAGAACGTGAGTCATTGAATGTGCTCGGGATCCTGTTTTCAATTACAGGGACTAAAGAATGTTTTTTTCTCCCTTTTCTTGCTTTCAGCAGCATCGGGATTACGTTGCCTTTTGTTAATACAGAGCAAAGCATTCGGGAGAAGGCAGGAATACAGAGGAGTCACGGGCGCAACAAGGGGAGAGTCAAAGCAGCAGGGAAATATGCACGACTGGGAGAAGATATGAGATAAAGAGAAGCTGTAAGGAGGAACAGGATTATTGAGTAGTGGGGGAGAAGAAAAGATAAGAACAGAAGAAGGAGTTTGGAAAACAGGGAAAAGGAGACTCATTTGAGAAAGAAAAGAGCAACAAAGAACTCTGCCTGCGGCGTCTATGTTTAGTGGCGATTTGGTCCAAACCACTGAGCCATGCCTCGGCCTACCAGGGTGTTTATCTTGACAGCATGGCGAGCAGGTCAGAGGTCATGTTCCCGGTTTAGGTTGTGAAGGAGTGGCGGTTCTACCCTTTATGACAAACCAGTGGTTTGACCCTCTGTACAAACTGACCTGAAATCACAACAGAGGAATCCAGAGAGAGAAAAAAATAAAAATAAGGACTGGAAACTTGGCCAGAGAGAAGTTCCGTTGCAGCAGAATGAGTCACCCGATGCAAACTCTTTGATTGGTTTCTCCCTGTATTTGCACAAAGAAAAAGTAGAAAGTACTACTTTATTTCATGTTTACCAGCCAGGAGATACCAAGTCTTAGTATGACTCGTCACAATGGGTTTTCCTACTGCTCATACCGACCATTAACAATGTAATCACCATTGTCGGCCCTTTCTGTGGTTTGTTTTAATTAATTAGCACTAATGTAATTACTGCATGTGGATGAACGCAGGTCAGGTCCACCACTGTTCCAGGTGGCTTCTACTCGTCTGAGCGGCCATGTCAAACACACGTTACCAAACTAATCCATCCCAAAATATTTTATGGGCCCGTTTGAAAACATCTGCTCCGCTTGTCCTTTATTTACATTCCCAGGAGAGAAAAGAAGGTTTGCATCCTGTCCCATCTTAATGCTGCTAAATCTGTTTTTGACGCAGTGGCAAATCATATTTGTGGTGATTAAATAAAAATAAATGCATTTCTGTGCTCTGAGAACTTTCACAGAGGAGGAATATGGTATCAGCACAGTCGGGGAAAGACGGAAGTGCACGCGGCCGTTAAATAACTTTAAACTGGGGCTCAGACAGCCCCACCCCCCTCCCAGGCCTGAATCAATCAGATCAGCCCACAAGGGTTCTGGCAGGCCCAGGGGAGGTGATACAAACACCCAAACACTTTTTCCCACCCTCTGACAGCGAATCGCTTAATAAAAAAGGGGGAAAGCGAGGCGGTTGTAGTGCAAACATGGTCGGTTGTATAATTAAAGTCACAGTGTTTGTGCAGGAAGGCCCCGTTCCCAGAGTCCTCCTCGTTCAGCTCTCTGGGGAAATCTGCCCTTTGACCCCGACGGGGTTCAACTCGTGTCACCTGGCGCTGGACACGGCGTGTGCATCTGTCCGTGTGTCATACATGTGATCCGCTTCGTAACAGGAGAAGGAAGGTCACACGTACAGTACTTTGCATGCATGTTCATGAGGACGCGTATGAACACTACTCTTCACCTCCCCACAGCCTCGAACCAATTCTACCTCATTTCAAGCATTAATTCAATCCCGTTTCTTTCGGGGTCAAGGCGGTTTTACTCAGTCAGTGCAAATGTTACTTTACTGCCGTTTTTACAACATTTTCTGAAATGTCTGCAATGAGAGTAGAAGACCACAGGTTTGTCCAGACTACCAGAGGAATGTGTTCGGTCTCTGAGAGCTGTTGTCTTTAGATGCAGTTCAACGTCCTCCCACACAGAACTCGTAAGCTTTGGCTTCAACTGGAACAAGGTGCCTTTTCCCGCAATTCAATCAGCGCATCGTGCAAAACCAACTCCTCAATCCAAGGCTCATTTATTTCAGTTCACCCCACAACTATATTTAAGGAAAGCAATTACACTACAATACTACATTCCTACAATTGAGCGAATTTCAGGCGTGAGAAAACAACATGCTAGCACAAAGTAATTGCTGAACATTAAGCAGCAAGTAGGTTTACACAAAAAGCTCACTGGATCAGGAAGTCGCCAATTTTGTGAGGCGCTATGAAAGCCGGCTGAATAATAGCTTAACTGGCCATTATCTGCTAGCTGCACGCTGACGTGAGTCGCTAAAGTCAACAGCCAGGCGGCGGGAGCTGGCCAGTGGGGTCCGTTATCTCTGCCTGCAGGTTAAAGTGTATCAGTGAAATGGTTGGCTGACAGCAAGTGTGGGTCTGCAGGGCTCAGGAACCCGACCTCTGTCCTCACACATACCTCACATCAGCAACAGTAGATTAATCACTCAGATTAA